ATGGATGAGAAACAATGAGTTTATTATTTTAATCTGTAACAGATAAGAATTGGTTAGATATGAACTACTTTAGCTGTGGCACCTGTATGCTCCTTATGGCAATTTCTACATTCCAGTTATAGATGGGACTTTTGATTTAGAAAGAACTATATCATTACTAATGACACCGAAATAATCAGCACATCATTTTTTAGGAGAAGACTTTCTTTTGGCAATAATGTCTTGCACATTTCTTTTCTATGCAATCTAAAGACAAACAGATAACAAAAATGAAACCTTTTTTTTCTAGGTTGGCCAGTGTTCATTTTAAAACAACCAGAGGGGAATTGATTCAAACCAAAGAATCTGGAACAGCTGCCGATAGTAACCAATCAGCTTCTTTTTCATTTTCAGAGCTTAAAGTGATATTAAAGCCTCCTTTTTTCATTAAATATTTCCTACAAGGAGACCCACCTTTGATTGAGGCTGGTGACGTTTTTCTTTAAAAGTTTGTAATTCCTTGTTTTCTAGTGTGTCCTCACAGTAATCTTCCCCCCTGCCCCCTACACAGGTGCCGTCCATAGACAAACGGAGGATCGCTTCGGGACCGGCGGTGGGGATGAGCGTAGCTGACAGGTAAGTGTGGGGTGGCCGGGGAGAGAAAAAAGGTACTGGGTTGGTTTTTACCCTAATGTAGAGAATGCATTAAGGTAAAATATGCCCAGACCTTAATACTACTTTAACTGAACTGGAGAGGGAAACTGAATAATTGCAATGAGCAACTGCTCCAGTTTTGATGAATTCCCCCAGAGTATTGTGTTCCTGTAGATAAAAAATGCAAATTGTATTCAGTGATCTTTCTCATTTCAAATGATACTAAAATGAAGTTTCTGGTACAAAGTCTGGCAGTTATTTACAAAAGAGATAAAGGCGTGTTTAAAATGATGCAACGCTACATAAACAAAACAAACGCTTGATTGCAAAATGTGCATGGCGTAGCTGCGTGAGAATTCAGAAGTGTACTTCATCTCCCTGCCTTTTAGATCCTTCTGATGATTATATGCAAAGCAGGAATGGAATGGGTGGGGAGCCAAGCGTCTTATTGTTATTAGTTTAATTGATCCCCAGTCCAAATACTTCTCATCCAGAAGTAGGCTGCAATCTGTGGGGGAGCAGAGGTCTGACAGGCCCTGTGCAGAGTCATTACATTTCTGCAATGAGCAAATCTCATGGTACCAAATGATTGGAACTCTCTAGCTCTGACTCAGGTGGAGGGGAGGGGGGGTGTCAGACCACAGCCTTCACATAGATAACAGCAGCTCTTCTCTTGGAAGAAGTATTTGGCATGGTACTGTGGATCATTTAAGCTAATAACAACAGTAATGGACCATTCAGACCTATGCATTGCAGTACAACGCACATTACGGCAATGCATGGCAACATATGTACTTGTTGTGCTGTGCCTATTATTCAGAATGGAACCCCAAAACACTAACATAAAGCATCTGCACTGTAGTGTACCACATTGCATAGCCATACATTGTGCTGCTGTGTACCAGGTAAAACAGTGCAACTGGTTTTTTTTTTCCCTGTGTTGTAAGCCCATTCAAAATTCTTGGGCAGCCTTAAAGCGGACCTTTACCCCCTTTCACTAAAATTGACATCAGCATGCAGCTCTCTCGATGCCGATTTCAAATCATCTTACATTCATCAAACAAACTTGTTTTTCATCTACTTACAAATAGAGTTCATCCAGTTCCAGCACAAATGTCATGTGCCCAAGCATTGCATCCTGGGAAGTAGGGATGCACCGATACTAGTATCGATATTGGTGCCGATTCCGAGTATTTGGGAGCTCCGGCCAAAGGCCACGTTCTCGCTGGAGAGGCCCCGGGCGTGACAGGCTGCACATACTAAGGTAAGAGGGGACTTTGTTGTTAATCAGGAAGCCAGGTGGCGAGTCATTATACACCACCTGGCTTAATGGGACTTCCGTTACTCGGTAATTGGTATCGGCGAGTAATTATCGGTACTCGTACTCTGTACCAAAATACCGGTATCGGTGCATCCCTACTGGGAAGGTTACAGCAGCAGAGCATTGCTGGGAGATCTCAGGGAAAGGCATTTTCCTCCCCTGAGACGATGTGCATGGTCACATGGGACAGAGCTCCAGGAAGTAAAGGGAGATCTAGTAATCTGCCCTTAGTTAACATGGCCACTGTCAGAAGACTGGGAAAGAAAAGACAAACAAGGTATGCAGAGAATACAAAGCCGGTAATTATCTAGATGTATGTGTGTGTAGATTGTCATTACTAAACATGTCTAAAGGTGTGTTTATTTCCATTTTAAAGAAAAACTTTAACCATATCTTTAAAATAACAACAAAGTCCACTGTGGGTCTCCCTGTGTCGATGAGATCCTCCCCAGGTGTTCTTCAAGATCAGTTTTCAGGCATCTTGATTGGCCAGCACAATGCAGCTCTAGTGCATGGGCACAGAAGTTGATTTACTTGGCAGCCAATAATGTGTACAGAGCTGCACATGCACAGCAAACGTACTAATGAAATGTTGCTGGCAGGTAGAAGAGAAAGAGAGCTTACTCTGCAGTAAACGCTAACCTACTAGCATTTTTCTTTCAAAAGCTTCAGTTCCACTTAAAAACATGTGTTCAGGAATGCAGCACCTACTGTACATGTGAAGGAGCCCTCAGACATTCATATTCATGCTTTCTGCTCTATTAAATATAGGCGCCACTACTAGGGCTGCAACCAACTAATCGTTAAGAATTGTCAACTATTGTCATCAATTAGTTGGTTGGATCCTCTAGCTCTCTCCTTCACGCTGGGAGGACACAGCAAGCAGTGGGTGGGTGCCATAGCCAGCCTGCTATTGCAATTAGAAACGGCCAATAGCAGACTGGCCCACTACCTGCTGCATTTACATTCAGCTGCTGTCTGCAGAATCTTTCCTCTGGCAGCTGACATTCCCTGGCTGAAGCCTTGTGCTCACAATTATAAAAGAAAAGGTCATTTTCAGTTTTGGCCTGACAAATTCTGCTGTGGGGGAGGCGCTTTGCAGTTTCTTTCAATGGCACCCCAAAAACACCTCCCACCCACAGTGTGATCACCTGCACTGGATTCCATGCCATGCATTCCAGTGCAGTGCGATTGCAAAACATGCAGTTTTATTCTGAAGTAAACGTTATGTTTGTAACACTGCATTTGTGTATTTCACTTTAAATTAAGGTTTTTTTTCCCGATTTAATAAAAAAAAAAAAAAAAATAAAAAAAAAAAAATCGACCAGCTAATCGATTGTGACAATCATTAGTTGCAGCCCAACACCTACTCCGTTTCTTAAATTATGGGTGGGCTTTAAATACTTTCTGTTGTCACCGGCTCTGTCCCTGTGAATTTCATGCAATTTTTTTATGTTTGTTTACAGAAACATTATGAAAAGCTATTTATAGGACAGCTCGTGGTGAAAGCAATGCATTTTCTGTAAAAGGTAATGTAGAGTACATGTAGGAATCAGTGCAGCAGAAAGAGCTGAAAGTCATATCAAAGCAGTTTATTGAAATGCTGTATAGTCCATCTACTGTGCACAACAAGTGTCATTCCACACAATACATAAGGGTATGATGCTGCTAGCCGTTTCCATCCTCAAAGCTCATAGAAAGGGACGCAGATTTGGTTTATTGTACATGCTTTATTAAAACGGTACCCTTATTTACAGGTTTCCTGAACATATCTTGGATCTCACACACCCATACACACTCCCAGGCATACATACTACTCCACAAACATGTAGACTGAACTTTTCGGAGCAAAGTAAAGCAGTGCCATGGACAAGAAGGGGGGGGCTTTTGGCCATTGTAATGCTACCTTAACGTATATAACATATATATGGCAGTAATACTGAAGATCCTTTTTTTCCCCATTCTATTTACAGAGAACATCAGCAAGGTTTTCCAGTCAACAGAGAACATCAACTTCAGTATCAAAGCTGTGACCTTGACCTAATACAGATTGGGTTTTGATTTCCCTTAAAGCGATTCAAGTCTTTACAAGAAGTAAGGCACATAGGGAACAACTGTGCTGCTGCAGAAGACTGAGGTGCGCTTCATCATTGTGGTAAAAGGCCTCAACAGCAGCAAAGTGGTTCATATTGATTTCATGAGTCCAGAATAACGCTATCCTACCATTTGCTGGAAATGTTGCCTTTAATACAAGTGGATGTTTAAATTAAAAAAAACCCTCTTTAATCATTAGACCAGACTGGCACAAAGCCAATCTGACAGTGACGAGGGAAAAATCTATTCCTCAAGAACACCCAACAACTCATGTATACAATATTTCTTTAAAGATCTGGCCACCTACAACCAAGTGTGGGGCAGGTAGCACTCAGTTGCTTCCCTCCTTGTTTTTTCTGCCTCTCAGAGTAATATGTCTGCAACCCGGTGTTCCCAGCTCCTCCCACCTGTTTCAGCTATTGTAAAAGGAGGTTGTGCTCCGTTTCTCTTACATTCATTTCCATATAGCCGATTGTCTCCATGCAGAGGAGGCAGTCAGATGTGAGACTTGCTTCTACTAATGCATGGCGGATAAACACTAGATCGGTGTTTGAAGAGACACTGGAGATCTCACCACCACAGAAAATAGTAGTTTGAGTGAACTTGCTTCCTATAAATTGAAAGGTCGGGGATAGATGGACTAACCCTAAAAGAGAAGCCGCCCCAATAGAAAAAGGGACGTTACCATTGCCAGCGTGCTTTTAAGCTACTACGCTATCTACATCTCTGCTTTATTACTCAGTTACTAAGTCATTCACCTGGAACACCCATGCAGCCAGAAGTCAAAACTCCTGATCGTCATGTCTGTTTCAGGTTTGTAACTTATTAAATAGGGAGAAAAGACATGACACCCCCAGATGGATGCAGTGGCACAGGCAAGTCATTATTACATCTGGATCTTGTGTGGGTATACCTGAAGATCAGCAGTGGCCTATGTCACATTTTCTTATAGTCGATTTAGGGGAGGGGAAGGTGCCAATACCTGGAATTGCTAGGAAAAGAAATGTACATACAAATTTGAGGACTTTACATGGAAACATTGTTTAAGTAGTGCAGACTGACAATAGTCAAGAAGGGATAAACAAGAACAGGGATTTCAGCTTGTCCATTTATCACAGAGGACCCAAGATACCACAATGCATACGCTCTCCCCAAGCTCTCTAATCACTGCCTGCCAATGCCAGTACCATAGTGGTAGATGTGCAGGCTACTATAGGATTATAGAGCTACCGCTGACAGTTTCCACATACAAGACAGGTATATCTATACAAAATTCCTGGACCAGGACTCCTTATACAGATACAGCAACTGTGTTTTGGGGAGAAAGATGGCTGGCAGTTTAGATTATAACGCTAGTAATAAAATCTTTCCCAGACTCTTAATTCTTTGTACAAAATCTGGCAATAGTGTTGAAAACACATTCCACCCAAGATGTCCGTAGTTGTCGGTGGGAAGTAACAGGTTGCAGTTTCTGAAAGGCCCCTGACTTTGGTTGTTAACACAGTTCAATCCTGTTTTGAATGATCTCGAACGTCTTCCTCATCTGTGTATTCAGAAGGCTCTTCTCCAGGTTTCAATAGCCGGCCAACGTAGTCATATTTCTCTGTTAAGAAGGAGCAAAAATAAATGATGATATAGCCATGGGACCATCATTAATGACAGATGTTCAAAACACTAACCGTGACTACTAAACAAGTAAAATGAGCCTTTATAAAAGAGCCGCTAGTAGGAGTCAGATGTATATACAATTATTAGAAACAAGTTGTAGTGTAGAGGAAGTGCTGAAGGCTGTTTAAGAGACCCACCTCTACTGGGCTGCACTCAGCACAAACCAAGTAGCCTGCAACCTGCTGCTTATAGGGTTGCATAGGACAGACATCTTTTAAAAGTACAACTAAATCCTCCCTCCTATCCTTTTGCACATGGTGTCATGTTCGCTTTTATTTAAATCTGCAGTTGCCATGGTGCTACACAAGTGATCACCTATGGCACCGGCCATTTGAGGGCTTGAATGCTTGGTTGAGAGCCGATATAAGCACAAAGGCAACTATGACTTATGACCAGGCATGCCTTGAACATACCATACACTGCTCACGTGCCACAAGGCTCAATGTGATTGAAAACACTGCAGAAAACATGGATACGTTTTATTCATGGAATTAAAAAGGAGAAATATGGGGTTAAGGCTTTTCTCCATAGTTCTCCTTAGGGTAACGGGAGGACACAAACTAGCGTCCTCCCGTCACCCTAAGCTCAGTATACCGCGAGCTACAGCTTGCGGTATACCGAGACACCACAGCCAAAACGGATCCCGACAATTATGTCTGGATCCGCCCAGCTGCGTGAGTGACAGCGGGCTCTGCCTATCTAGAGGCAGAGCCAGCTGTACCCGCCCCCTCCCCCGTCCGTTCCGCCAATCAGCGCTGGAGATCGGACAGGGGAGGGGGGGGAATCCCTGCGGGGAGCCGCGAGTGACAGTCAGCGGTATTCTAAGACGCCGCAGCTGGAACAGATCCCGACAAATCTGGAGGCAGAGCCAGCTGTAGCCACCCCCCTCCCTCCCCCATCCGTTCCGCTAGTCAGCGCTGGAGGATCGGACAGGGGGGGGCTGGGAGAGAGATCCCTGCAGGGCACCATGAGTGACAGTCACGGCTCTCTGCACGGACAGATCGAGAAATGAGCGAGCGCCGGTATGTGTTCGCTCACCTCCCGATCTACTGAGCCGACCTATGACAGTTTCATTGTCACAGGTCGGCTCAGATGAGGCCGAGTGAAAATGACTCGCCTCATAATTCTCCTTTAAGAACATTTACTGAACATTTCTTACTTAAGGTTTCTTTTGGGAAACCTTTAATTTTTTGCATTTAGTTCCACTTTAAACAACTAGGAAAGTACGTAGGCTTTTAGTCAACGTATAAGACTCTACAGAATCACTAAGGGAGATGCTACAGTGTAGTTTGAAGCAGGATAGGACGTTGATCACGTGACTTTCACAAAATCAGGCTGAAACTGAGCTGAAAGAATTACGGTACCATGAATGGTTGTGGGTGCCCGGAAATACAGAGCACATTGGATAGCCAGCAGTCCACACCAACCGACAATAAAGCTTTATGACTTTGCTGTACCAAGCTGCCACTAATCGCACAATGTTGCCTGTTAATAGTTGCTTAATTGGCTGTAATAATGGTTTCATAACCTGGTTTTAGCACTCATGGCTGCAGGACCTACATATGCATTTCTATTTTATCTAGGCCTGCTTAGCAACCTTGGAGCTTGATGAGAAACACAAATATCCATAAGCCTCTTTGACTTGACTATATTATAGCAATCATCAAGTACTATTCATTGAATTACAAATACTTTGTACTTGGATATTTACACACAATAAAAACTTTGTGTGGGAAGAATCTCTTGCATAAAAAAAAAAAAAAAGAGAATTCCAGGTATAACGTCTTTAAAAAGCACTAAAGCTACAAGACTAACACACACAACTGTCTCAGCATAGAAGATGAAACATTTCTGGCTGCACATACAGAGGAGTTGTTGTAAAGCTATAAAAGTCTGCCACCAGGAAATTACTTAACAGAACTTGGACCAGGACCAGTAACCAGAAGATTTGTCTTTTTGATAGTTAAAAGCTATACACAATCTCTGGTGGCAGGGGGAAATTTCTTTAAACAGCCAAAATTCCCAACCTCTGGGCTCAGCAATCCTAGAAGAACAGGGATTGCACAGTCAATGCCGCTACATTATATTTATTCAATGAAGCACAATAGAAATCCTTCCTAAACTATCCTGTGTCTAAAGCTACAAGGTATTATTCACACATATGTGTCTTCCATGTCAATGCATGGTAACACATTAAAAACACATGTCAACATGTGTAGCCCCACATTAATATGCATTGCCATGCAATTTGTATTTCATATAAACACAACACAAGTTCTATTGATTATAATTGAACATGCATAGGTGTGAATAGGCCCTCAAGGTACATACACTCCTATACCTTTGGTGTGCATTTAACACAAACCTGTTCCCAAATCCAGGCCCACCATGTTAGGCACCTTTGATACTTATTTTACTGTCGTTCTGGTAAAAAAACACAAGTACTGATGGGTATGAGACCAATTGTGACGCACCCACTGCCTTCTCACAATGCAGCACTTGGGAGCATCATTAGCCAATCACACGATGCCAAATGAAAGTCAATACTGGGTAATGTGTAATTGTCGCTCATGTTTCTGGGGGCTGCAGCAGAAAAGTGAAGCTAAAAAAGGTAATTCTGGGCATTGAAGAGTGCTTAGCACAGTGTGTAAGATGGAGGAGAGGGGTCTGTTTTTTACTTAAAAGTGCAGCGGCTAAGAGAACGTTATGACTGAAATGGAGTTTGTTAATTTTATTACCAAGTGACACTTCTATTGGCCACCCCAAAACGACTAGACCTAAAGTGAAGATAATGTAATGCATTTTATGTCATAACATAGCAATTCAAATTAACATGCGGTTAGCAAACCTGATGTTTTATCGCCCAATAATATGGAGTATGTTCGTGTTTAAGGAAAACTACCATTAGAGATATATGGAAGCTGCTAGGGTTGTTCAGATACCAGTGCCAATACTTGGCATTTTCATGAGAACTACCAGGGTTGCAGCGGGACCTGACTCTGCTGCTCCACCACTGTCCTGTCATTATTGGTCTGTATTGGTTTACAAAAAAACTGGCACATGGCACTAAAAAAATTATGTATCCGTACTAGTAAAAAATGGTATTGGTGCATTACCGTATATACTCGAGTATAAGCCGAGATTTTCAGCCCATTTTTTTGGGGTGAAAAGTCCCCCCCCTCGGCTTATACTCGATCAGCGCCAGGGTGTCTTCTTACTTACCTCGCCGCCCACCGGAGCAGCAGCGACGCTCGGCGAGGTAAGTAAGAAGACACCCTGGCGCTGATCGAGTATAAGCCGAGGGGAACTACCAGGGTTGCAGCGGGACCTGACTCTGCTGCTCCACCACTGTCCTGTCATTATTGGTCTGTATTGGTTTACAAAAAAACTGGCACATGGCACTAAAAAAATTATGTATCCGTACTAGTAAAAAATGGTATTGGTGCATTACCGTATATACTCGAGTCTAAGCCGAGATTTTCAGCCCATTTTTTTGGGGTGAAAAGTCCCCCCCCTCGGCTTATACTCGATCAGCGCCAGGGTGTCTTCTTACTTACCTCGCCGCCCACCGGAGCAGCAGCGACGCTCGGCGAGGTAAGTAAGAAGACACCCTGGCGCTGATCGAGTATAAGCCGAGGGGAACTACCAGGGTTGCAGCGGGACCTGACTCTGCTGCTCCACCACTGTCCTGTCATTATTGGTCTGTATTGGTTTACAAAAAAACTGGCACATGGCACTAAAAAAATTATGTATCCGTACTAGTAAAAAATGGTATTGGTGCATTACCGTATATACTCGAGTCTAAGCCGAGATTTTCAGCCCATTTTTTTGGGGTGAAAAGTCCCCCCCCTCGGCTTATACTCGATCAGCGCCAGGGTGTCTTCTTACTTACCTCGCCGCCCACCGGAGCAGCAGCGACGCTCGGCGAGGTAAGTAAGAAGACACCCTGGCGCTGATCGAGTATAAGCCGAGGGGAACTACCAGGGTTGCAGCGGGACCTGACTCTGCTGCTCCACCACTGTCCTGTCATTATTGGTCTGTATTGGTTTACAAAAAAACTGGCACATGGCACTAAAAAAATTATGTATCCGTACTAGTAAAAAATGGTATTGGTGCATTACCGTATATACTCGAGTCTAAGCCGAGATTTTCAGCCCATTTTTTTGGGGTGAAAAGTCCCCCCCCTCGGCTTATACTCGATCAGCGCCAGGGTGTCTTCTTACTTACCTCGCCGCCCACCGGAGCAGCAGCGACGCTCGGCGAGGTAAGTAAGAAGACACCCTGGCGCTGATCGAGTATAAGCCGAGGGGAACTACCAGGGTTGCAGCGGGACCTGACTCTGCTGCTCCACCACTGTCCTGTCATTATTGGTCTGTATTGGTTTACAAAAAAACTGGCACATGGCACTAAAAAAATTATGTATCCGTACTAGTAAAAAATGGTATTGGTGCATTACCGTATATACTCGAGTCTAAGCCGAGATTTTCAGCCCATTTTTTTGGGGTGAAAAGTCCCCCCCCTCGGCTTATACTCGATCAGCGCCAGGGTGTCTTCTTACTTACCTCGCCGCCCACCGGAGCAGCAGCGACGCTCGGCGAGGTAAGTAAGAAGACACCCTGGCGCTGATCGAGTATAAGCCGAGGGGAACTACCAGGGTTGCAGCGGGACCTGACTCTGCTGCTCCACCACTGTCCTGTCATTATTGGTCTGTATTGGTTTACAAAAAAACTGGCACATGGCACTAAAAAAATTATGTATCCGTACTAGTAAAAAATGGTATTGGTGCATTACCGTATATACTCGAGTCTAAGCCGAGATTTTCAGCCCATTTTTTTGGGGTGAAAAGTCCCCCCCCTCGGCTTATACTCGATCAGCGCCAGGGTGTCTTCTTACTTACCTCGCCGCCCACCGGAGCAGCAGTGACGCGACGCTCGG